CTTCTCCTCTCCTTCTCCTCTCCTTCTCCTCTCCTTCTCCTCTCCTTTCCCATTATTACTTATGCAGGCTTCAATGCCTTTTCTCTCCACCCCTGTGCTTCTGACCTCCTGCTGCCTTCACAGTCAAGTATCTCTCCTGTCTTCTGGTCTTGGCCATGGCTTTTTCTTTGTTTGTTTTTGTCTTTTCCCCATGCTCATCATGGATCTCATTTCTTTCCTGCCCCATCAGACATTCACAGAGCATTTGCTGGGAAAGTCTCTTTGGATTTCAGAGCTGTAGGGGTGGCTCGAGAGCAGGGCCGGCTTCTCTGCTACCAGCATGCTGCAGTTGGCTGGAGGCCAGAGCTGTGGAAGAATGAGAGAGCCTGTGGGATGCTACCTGCTGCTTGGTGTCAGCTTTCCGGGTCGCATGGGACTGGAGAAGGAGGCTGTGCCATCAGCTCTTGAGGCTTGAGCCACAGACCGTGGCTCTGTTATGTGCTGATTGGATTTTCTCTTCCACAGGCTGAGTTTGCAGCCTGCAGTCAGAGAACAAATGCACTTCTATTGTCTGGCAGCTTCTGCTTTGTGTCTGTGCTAAATAAGGTATAAAAGAATAATATTTTCTGGTTCTAATTGCTTGCCCAGATGGAACACAGACAATTGCAGAGAAATGCCTACACTAACCCGAGCTCCCTGCTCTGCTAAGCAACTGTTTTAACTCTTAAGCTGTTTGGCACCATGTCTTTTTCTTAAGGTGAAGCTCTTGGAGCGGCAATAGCAGAAAACATCGGATTAAAGGAACTGAAAATCAGCTGGAACCATTTCCACAGTGAGGGAGCAGTTGCTTTGGCCAAAGGCGTGGGGGTAGGAAATGTTTTTCACTCCTGTCTTAAACGCTGAAATCTCACATGAAGCTTTGTCTGTTTGTATGAGCATCAACGTCATCATGTGATGTTTGTCCACCAGCCGTCGATGATCTGGGATCACACAGACCTTGGAACCAAGACAGTCAAATCATTCACTGTGTACTGACATAGTACATATGTTTTCATTTCTCCACTTCTAGCTCTTTCCCTTTTTAGAGTCAAACTTGGCCTAATGAATGCTTTGAATTGTTTCCTTGCACTTCTGATTCACAGATCAATACAGAAGTTGCTTTGTATTCTACATACAGTTTTTACTCTGCTCAAAGAAAGAAGCTTCTTTCAGCTTTTCAATGCCTAAAGGGAGCCTACAGAGGGGAGGGGAATCAACTCTTTGGAAGGGTTGATATGTGTAGGACGAGGGGAAATGGTTTTAAGTTGAGGGAGGGGAGATTGAGGTCGGACATCAGGGGGAAATTCTTTACCCAGAGAGTGGTGAGGTGCTGGAACAGCTGCCCAGAGAGGTTGTGGATGCCCCGTCCTTGGAGGTGTTCAAGGCCAGGTTGGATGGGGCCCTGGGCAGCCTGGTTTAGCATTAAACGTGGAGGTTGGTGGCCCTGCATGTGGCAGGGGGTTGGAGATTCATGATCCTTGAGGTCGCTTCCAACCCTGGCCATTCTGTGATTTAGCAATAAGGTTTTAAATTCAATGTCTGTGTCACGCCACAGGCAAATGTGTTCCTCAAGGTGCTGGATGTTTCCTACAATGGCTTTGGCAACAGTGGAGCAGCTGCCTTGGGAGATGCTCTGCGAGCCAACAACGTGCTGGAAGAGCTCAATGTAAGGTGAGTCAGGCTTCCAGCCTGCTGCATGTTTTCTCCTGTTCTCCAGAACCTACAGAAGTGAGGTATGAGAGGAAGATGTTACGTTTGGAGCCGTGGGCTTTGTTCAGTTCATGGCCTATAGGGAGGCATGCTTAGGGTGGTGAAACAGCAAGGGAAGCAAGGCGGCCAAGAAGGTGAGAGCTCAAGTTTGTGGACATTAATATATGATTAATATATGATGGAAGTGGTTCCAGAAAAACAACCAGAAAAAAAAAAAAAAGGAAAAGCAGACAAAGATGGTAGCAGGGAGCTGCCATGAATTCCCTCTGGACTGGTTGTCAGCACTGGGTGCAACAGGAGGTTGCGTATCCTTTGCCAGAGCAATGCAGTAATGTCTTGTATCAGCCTGGCTGTGTGGGCATGGGGAACCTGCAGCTCAGGCTGTGCCTCATGCCATCCATCTGCTTGCAGCAATAATCGCATCTCGGTGGAAGGAGCTCTGCAATTTGCAGTTGGCCTGAGAGAAAACAAGACTCTGAAGATCCTTAAGGTGAGTAGCTTTGCCACGAGGAGCCTGCAGTGTGTGGCTGATGGTTTGCTGTTACTGTAGATGGTTTTGTGCCAAGTGGTGTCCAGCTTGGAGAGGCAAACTGGAACTCTCACAGAGAGAGCTCTCACAAAGAAAAATAAGTTGGGGATGGGAAGAGCTGTTGTGTATCCTCCTGGTGTTTTCTTCTTGCCTCCAGATGATCAGAAATCCCATGCAGAACGAAGGATGCTGTGGGATCCTCAAAGCTCTACAGGCAAATTCTGGCACTGGCATGGAGATCCTGGACCTGCCAGTAAGTGTGACAGCAGACAGAAGAGGGAAGGGAGGGAAGAAGCTGAATGTGTGAATAACGAAGTGCTGGCAGAGGGATTCAGGCACAAGACATCCCATGTAGACATCCCAAAGAGCATCGTTTCAGAAATAGAGGCTTTCTTTCAGACTGGTGCCCTTAGGCACCTTCAGAATGGCTTAGTGC